AAGTATTTGCTGAGTGAATGTATTCATGCATGTTCCAGAAAACCACTAATAGTGCAGAAGCAGATAGTAGAGAATATAGCCCAGCTGAGGGACAAGAGTGTGTAAACCAGGCCATCTTTACCTGGTCAGAACTGAGCAGAGGCAGGTTAGTTATCATAGTATATTATTTTGTTACAATAATTAGCTCTCATGATCCCATTTTAGGAGCAAATATATAGCTAGAAATTAAGCTTTAAAAAATTAAATGCATCCACTCAAATATTTGAGTGCCTACTACTGTGTTCATTTACCTATTAATTGAGCTCAACCAAATGTATTAAATGAGACAATGAAAACTGTCAAGGGCAATGAGAACTAATTCAAATGTACAATGAGTTTATTAGAAGTTATATCAAATTTACTGCTTATCTGTTATAAATAAAACTGAAGGATAGCAGACCCTTAAACTTCAATTCCCTGTTGAGATTTTTGATCTTATGTTCCAATTTTGGGTTGGGATAATAAGAAACGTGTGCCAGGGAAAAAAGACACAAACCTTACTGTATAAGCCCTCTAACTTGCAGGCTGGTGGTTCAGAAACTTTTGTGAATACTTCCTGGTTCTCAGCAAGCTCCAGGAAATTAAGCTACTCAGCAATTGGGTGTTAGGGAACTTTAGTGTGAGATGGTGAATAGGTTTGTATTGTAGGGAAGGAGTTTTGGAGAACAAAAAACTTCAAGTTTTCTATAATTGCTAGCAATACTAAAATTCCTAACATTCCAAATCAAAGTTCATTTTACATCAGAATACCTAACATTGAAGCAGAAATGTCATTTCATAAATTTTTATTCCCACTCAAATTTCTTTTTATGAACTTACTCTCTAATAAGTCATGTTCAACATTTATTTAGAAAATATAAGTTCTTACATGATTTTATTTAAAGATCTCACTAGCTGGCCTACCGAGCTTCCTTTAACATGGTCTGGCTAAATTAGACAGAGAAGAGATAGACCATTTAAGAAAATCACTCAATAAGCAGCCACAGTTAAAAAGTCAAGTCGCTATTCAACTAGCTTGTATATATATTTTTTAAGTAACATGCAAAAGCTGGTAAGAATTTCTATCAATAGCTGAACCCCTGAAAATAACATGACTTCAAGTATCTAAAAATGTACCTTTAATCAGACTAAAACAAGAACAAATTTTTATAAAACATCTTATAATTAAAAGGTTAGAAAAACTACTGAAATTCAGAACACATTCCAAATTCTCTGCAGTGTTACACATTAGTTATTAGTAACAAAGTCTCTAATATTTTCTTTAAAAAAAAAAAGCAACTTGTTAATTCTTCTCCCTATTAAAAAAATTTTAAAGGATTCACTAAGATGCTTGGAAAAAGCTGGCAACTCTAAAAGATTTACAGGCAAAATCTATTTCAATATAAGCTACAGAGTTTCTCTGGCAAAATTTCCAAAAGCCAAGATCACTACTTGGCTTTTGGAAAAAGAAAAGAAAGAAGGAAGTTTGTGATTTGATAGATTTAGCACACTTTAAGGTCAAATATGATAGTTATGCCATTTCCTAAGTGGTATGTGACACTTTTACTAAATTATCAGATATTTTTACTTGACTCAAACTGAACTTACTGTAATTATAAATTTTTAAAATTTGTTTTACTAGTCAGTTACATATTGTTATTTTTACACTCTATGTATTTTCCATGAAAGCTCAGTAAGCCTCAAAGCTATGTCTTTTTAAATTTAATACATAAGAAATCCACATTTTTGAGACCATGATAATTTAGTATATAAACGCACAGGCATAATTTAAGCACCCTAAAAGCATACACACTTCACTAAATGCTATACTGTTCCTCAAAACTGCCTTAAAAGGGTGATACATAATTAACACCCAGAAAGTCATGGCCAGGCCTAGTGCAATGAACCCTAAAGATTTCTTCAGATGTGTTTACTATTTACCTTGGCTCATTTCTGTTCCATTTATTCTCTCTCCCAGGTTTTCTTCTTCATTTTCCTCATTGTTATCTTTCCATTTCTGAATTCCTCTTGTTTACCCCCTCTCTTATGTTGGGAGTGCTCAAACTTCCATCACTGGTTTTCTTACCTGCTCTCACTTCCTTTTCCCTGAGTTATCTACTTATGCACAGGCTTGACCTACTGAGTACTCACCAGTGACCCTGAACTCTATACAGTTAGCCAGACCTCTCTCTTGATCTATAGGCTCCAGTTTTCAAATGGCTAGCCTTATATCCATCCGTTGGTAGTTCAAGTACCTCTCTCCAAAACCATCTAAAACTGATTATACATGGGTCATTACAAAAGTTTTGAGACACAAAAATCAAGAAACGTAAAATCCAAAGACAGAAACAAATTAAACCCTCTCAGCAAGTTGAAATTTGCACTGGT